AAAAAAAAAACAAAAAAAAGAACACTAAAATTAAAAAAATCTATTTCACAAAAACTAATATTTAAAAATGTGCGATTTAAAAAAAAATTAAAAACATTTCCGAAAAACCAAAATAAAAAAAATTAAATTAACTCTTAAAACGCTAAAAAAAAATATTAAAAATACTTTATAAAATCTTAAAAAAATAACAAATGCGAAAACTGTACAAAAAAAGAACATACCAAATAATGATAGGCTATTTTATTAAAGTAAAAAAGAGGAAAAGAAAACGAGTATACAAAAGTTTAAGATACGCACATATGAGAATACATAAAAAATATTTTTTAAAAATGCTAACGAAATGTAACCAGCTCAGTCTCAGTTATAACAGTAAATGTTACAAACAAACTTATGCATACGAAAATAGTAGATAGCTATAACGCTTGCATAACTGCACACACAGAGACACATACACATGCATACATAAGCATGATAAAAAAAAAATTATAAGTTGTGAAGGAAAAAACAAAACGGCAAGTTAAACGTCAAATTATGTACAAGTCCACATTCTTACATTCATACATAAATACATCAATAGAATATATAGTGATCAAGTATCTGCTTTTAGTGCTAATGAATATAATTGTTTTTTTCTTTTTTGCAAAAACTATAATTTCTCTAAAAATGTCATGCATTTTTGTCATTAATAATAGATGCATACATATTACCCTTAACTGTATTACTTAAAAAAAAAAAAACAAAAAGAAAAAAATCAATAGAACAGCACGCACACACATAGTCCAATTGTTTTCAATAATTTGTTTTTATTTATTTATTAATAACAATTTGGTTCGTCTCGAATGCATACACAACCAAGAATGCAATAAAGTTAAATTATTTATAACCGAATTCGTGTCAGTTGTTTATATATATTTTTTAAATTTTTTCCAAAAATTTTTTTCTTGTTTTCCTTAGTTCTTAGTGCATAGTTTGTGTTAGTCATTAGTTTATTTAATTTTTTACACACTACCAGTCACTTACGTGTACGTTTATTTTAACTTTATTTAGAAGTAGAAAAAAAATAGAAATTTCGTCGGTACTTAATTTTTCACTTAATTAAAAAAAAAAGTATTTAATATTTTGTAAAATTTTTAGTTTATATAAGTTTGTTCTACAAATTTTTGGTNGTCACTTACGTGTACGTTTATTTTAACTTTATTTAGAAGTAGAAAAAAAAATAGAAATTTCGTCGGTACTTAATTTTTCACTTAATTAAAAAAAAAAAGTATTTAATATTTTGTAAAATTTTTAGTTTATATAAGTTTGTTCTACAAATTTTTGGTAACTAACATATACATACATACATACATACAGCCATAGATATGTATGTATGTATTTGCATACATCTCAGCATACATACTTGCATACAGCATACATACACAACTACAGCATGCATACGAACAAGAATCCATTCATATCACTAAGCATTAATTTATTTATTTAAACCACCAAATGTCTCATTACAAGATAACAAACAAAAAAAAAAAAACGAGAGAGAAACACAACAACTTACCTACCCTACACACATACGTACGTACACCCCAATTTCCATTAATCTTTTGCTGTAGTGCCATAAATTCACATACCCACACATACATACATACAATTAAGTTGCCTTTAGTGTTTGTTTTTTTTTTTATTAATTTATTAAACTAATTTATGCCTAAATAAGTTAAATACATTTACATTCATATAAATAAATAAAATAGTTTTATACCGAACTGATGTTTTAAATGCAACACCATTATTTTTGTTTATTTAAATTTATAGTAATAAAATATGAAATTTCTGCGTTGAGATTGTGTAAAAATGTATACACACTACATACATACATACATAAGATGGAAAAGTTGAATAAAAATAAAAAATTAAATGGAATTTTCAGTCTTTTATTTTCAATGGAAATTGATGCAGAAAGTATTAAAAACACTTTTTTTTTATAATTTAGAGGCTTTTTTCGAGAATCGCGATATATGCGGCACAAACGCCGCCGTTATGGCAACAATTTTATTTGTGGTGTGCGTCACAGCTAAATTTATATGAGAACCTATACTTTCCACTTTTCGAAGTTCGAATGTGATCGCACAAAATTTCAGTTTTCGCAAATGACTGCGATGGTCGAGTGGGTAGACTCTGGCTCTTCATTCCGCGAGTTGGAAGATGGAACTCTGGCAATATAATGAAAGAAAGAAAACAGGTATACGGTAGACTGTTTAG